TATGCTCAGTTTGTGATTCTGGATACACTCAAAGTATATGGTACAACAGTTATACTATAACTGTTTCTGTACTAAGACTATATTAAATAGGAACATAAAATTAATAATTCTGCTCTGGGATCTTGTTTGGGAAAGATAAATAAATGAAATGCTTGAGGATTTGCATCATCTTGAGAGAAAGAGTACATGGAGTCCTAAGGTTATGATGGCAATTGGAACGAGGATTGCTGTCACTAAGCAATGTGGTCATAAAGTGCGACGTCACATGACTGCATCACTTAGCAACAGCAATCCCAGCAGTTCCAGTTGTGATCAGAACTCCAAGACACGCAGGTCATTAAGCGGGAAGAGGCAGGAGTCCCAGGTAAGGAGAGCGTGTGTGTGTGTGTGTGTGAGTGCTGCTGGGTGGTGCACAAGTGCCACGGGTGGAGGTGGGCCAGTGGAAGCTGCAGTTGGGCCAGCAGAGGTTGTGGGCAGGTCAGCAGAGGGTGTGGGGGGGTGCTGCGGGCCGTTGTGCACTACAGAGTGCAGGCAGATGGAGGGTGCTATGGAATAGCAGGGTCCTTGAAAGAAAAAGCGGCAGGAGCGACTTACTGGGGCAACTTGCAGCCTTCCCTGCCAGCTTCCCCATTGACTTTGCTTGTAGGAAGCTGGCAGGGAACAGCTCTGTGTGAGCCAGGTACCTAAGTGCCTGGATCGCAATCACATGACTGCAGGGATGCTGTGACAGCTGGAACTTCAAGGACTGGTCATAAGTCTTATTTTTGTAGTGCTGCCGTAACTTTGAAGAGTCACTGAACAAATGGATGTAAACTGAGGACTGCCTGTAATCACAAAAGAGATTAACAAGTTGTGATTTTACTACTTCTTTTCCTGGCTGCTAGTTGCAAAGACATGTATAAATTAGTGATATCACAATTCTCAATTTGCTTTACTGCAGTGGTGCTTAAAAGTTTGTGAACTCTTTTGATTTTTTTTATTTTTGCATAAATATGACATAAAGTATGATCTGTTCTCCACAGAAGTCCTAAAACTAAAACTAGAAAACTAGATAAAGAGACCCCAATTAAATAAATGAGTCAAAAACACCATATTTGTTCATTGATTTGTTGAGAAAAATGAAAATTATTGAGGAAAATGACTATTAGGAGCAGGCGGGAAGAAATGTAGAGTTGAGATGATGACAAATTTCAAACAATATCTATGCTTCTTTTTTTAGGGGGACATGTGATTGTTCCTCATTCTAACTACTAAAGCTAAACCATACTACAAACGAACAGGAAATTGGTACTCTCTAAGACAGTGTTTCTCAACCTTGGCAACTTTAAGCTGTGTGGACTTCAACTCCCAGGATTCCCCAGCCAGCACACTGTGGGCTCTGTGTAATGCTTTTTATCATTTGACGTGAAAGTTCTCCGCCTTTTCAATGTGACTTCTCAGCCAAGATTTCGAATGTTGTCAGCGTGTCCACAAAACCTTTGATTTCATGTCTTTCAGTATTCATCATGAAAAGTCTGTATCAAGCCTTGCTTTTTAATACTTGTTTAATATAATTATAAATTTCAGTAATATGAAACGCTGTTAAAAACAAGAAGTTTGGGAGGTTTGTTTGAGCTGGGCATGTAACTAAGTTCACATAAGAAAGCCAGATAGCAGTCTCTCTAATTTTTTTAATAAGGTGTTCAAAAATAATCTATCTGGTGTTCCTTTTGATAAAATACTGTATTACTCTCTGCGAAACGTAATGCATCCTGAGAAATTCCTATGCCATCATTAAAACGTTCAGCCTCGGATCTGATTAATGAAATGTTACCATAACACAATCCCTTAGATTTCTAAATGAAATTTTCTAATAAGGTAGACAGGTTTATTTGGGAAGTCTTTGTAGTTCTTTATCTCAGCCCACCCCCCACTTCAAGCAAATCCCTCAGAAGCAGAATGTTTCAATTTTACACATTTTGTGTCAATTTTCCAGACAGAAAGTAGCCCCCAGACATTAGATATTTAGCTACGGAAAGGCGGTTTCCTTAGTTTTATTTGATTACTAGAAGTTAGATTCCTGCTGATAGTTCAGGACTGTTAGTGGTTACCTGACTGTTTGACAGAAAACATTTCCTTTCCTTTATTTAACCTTTGACTTGTGAATATAAAAGCTTTATCAGAATTGTAGTGGAAGTGCAAGAGAGCTGGAAATTGACCTAGTGCAACAAAGCTGAAGACTGCCTTTGAATGAAGGCTTGAACGCCTGCCTTGTGGCTCACTGGATTAAAAGAATATGTTAAATACGTTTTTAGTTAGTAATGAAATATCTGGTACTGTTGTTTATGTGACAGGTAAGGACTACATTTTGGGTAGGATCTGATGAATTTAAAAGCATTACACTGCTACATCCATGATTGATTTTGCAGATGCTATTTCCAGTTTTTGTGTTTTATGTAGCAGGCAGGAAATTTGTTGAAACTTTTGCTGACCTGCTGAAATTAAGATATACCGATTAAGCCAGTTTTGTGAGTTGGCTTTTGTGTGATTATTGCTGAAGGTTTCTCTGGATGCAATAGTATATAACTTAAAGGTGTTCAAAGCCTAATCGTCTTCCACATCAATATGTGTAGTTTAACATATAAGTGCCTCAGATGAGGCAAATGTAGGATTTAGTAAGAAAATACTAAAGTTTGGATTTAGAAGGTAAACTAAATCATCTCAGCAATGAATAACTGAATTATATGGAATAATAATATTGGCATAGAAAAGTTTGAGAATTGTTATGGTTTGGTGCTGGCACCCTCATCTTTGGTTTAGCTTTGTACAAGAAGTAAATATGCTAAGTTTTACACAGATGCATAGAAATGATGCATGTCTTTATAGTAATCTGTGGTACACAAGAAAATATTGGCTGGAATCCAGCCCTAATGTGTGCAGAAGTGATATCCTCACCCAAGAATTTTAGATTTTTACTGCAGTCCCCCTCTTTGGCCCTCCCCCATCCCATTCTAGAGGATAGTCCAGTCTTTACAACCTGGTTTTCAGAAAGGATTTTTGTGTATCCTTCTGGAGCTGAGTAGATGGAAGCCCCATTCTGTAAGAATTCCATTCATGTAGTTAGGGGGCAATGAGGGGACGAAGAAGGAGCAAATAGATATCTGAGGAGGCATCCATAACCATTGTTAGACATTATGGTGGTTTATGTTAGGAACAAGTAACGGGAAGTATGCAGTTGCCTACTCTAACTCTGTCTTGCAGGGATCTTGGGTGTATATAACTGGATAGCCATAGCTATGATTCACTTTTCATAAAACATAGTGGCCTATTGTAGGAATGTTTATCACGATCTTATATATGGAAATATTGGCACCAATATCTGGATGAAGGTATGGAAGATGCATTGTAATAGTTATAGCCATAGTCTTTTGTAAGTATTAACTTATGATTCAATTTGATAATTTGATATCTAACAGCATTCTCTTAAATCATTTACATCTAGGTGTTTTTGTTTTTTTTAATGTTTGGTTAGGGGTTGCTGTTGTTGACACATTTCAACTGTAAAATGAAGCTGTGGTCTTTAAGACCTGTTGAAATTATATATTTTTAAAGAATGGGGGATACTGAATATTCTGAATACTTTTGAGAATTAAAAAACAACAACTGCATAACCCAAACCAGGGTCAAAATAGGCTCTATTTCTTAAAAAGAACTTTTCTTTTAAGTACAAGTAGTCCCCAGTTTAAGAACAAGTTCGGTTCCTAAGGTCTGTCCTTAAGTCGAATTTGTATGTAAGCCATTATACAATAATACTGTATAAGTAGAATTGTGTAATGAACTTGAACCATTGTGTATTTAACTTGAATCATTGTGTATTTAATTCAAATTTTGCTACAATAGTCTCCATTCTTAACTATGGGTTGTCTATAACCTGGGCGTTTTTAACCTGGGGTCTACCTATATTTAGTTGCAAATGAGATTTTTCTGAAACAAATTTAAAACAACCATTAATGTGTTCTTCATAGAGGAGACCCCAGGCTTCCATTGAAATTACACTCTTGATTTTTAGTCACTGGACAAACATAGAAAAATCCATATTGCTCTGAAAGCAGGTCCTACTCCTGAATCCTTACTGATGGGATTAAAAGCGAGGGTAGGTGGATTAAATGAGTGCTACTAGCAAGATGTTTGACTATTATTTTAGGTACTAACTAAAGATATATTTACCTTTGACTGTCTGTTTGCTGATACTGTTTAATTATAAAAAATATTCTTCTTTTAATTCAGAAAAAAATGTCCTTTCCACCAAATATCAAAATATTGAATAATATTCTTAAATATTTTAAAACTGATCACAGTGACATAGAAGGTCATTGTTTTGAATTAGTTACCTTTTCTGGGTGTATCAGGAGTATGATGGCATTATATCAGCTCTGGATCTTAATTTTCTCCTGCCAATACTTCCTGGGGCCTACCGCCAATACCACTAACTGTGTGTCAATGTCATGTAAGCTTATGTCAACACTTGTCAGTTTATTAGCTCAATCAAACATACACCTTATAACTTAAATTATAAAATTGAGTGGTAATACTAGTTGGCAGCGGAAAGGTAAATTTGGGTAAAAAGAAATGTTTAACTAAAGGACTAATTCAGTAGTTTTTTTCGTTCTGAACAGTTTTAAAAATGAATATGGAAATATGACAAACATTTAAAACTGCAAAAATGAGGCTTGTATTGAAACAATTTAGCATTTTTGTAGCTAGGTAGACAAGAAGAGCTATTACTTTCAGGAAAGTCAGGTCCCCATAGGGAGAAGCTGTTTAATCAAAACTTGAACTTTAGGCATTCTTTAACATTGGTACTTCTTTGTTCTTTGAAACATTTCCAGAGTCATCTTTTCTTGTGAATTTTCCAGAGCTGCATAATCAAACTTGCTTAAGGTTTTTCAAAAAGTGCATAACAGTGAAATAATTTTCAAATGATGTTTGCATTTTTAAAGCTATTCTATTTCTCTTTTCAGCTATTTGCCATGGTTTGAGATGTACTACAAACTTTTAAATACATTGGCAGAATATTTGGCTAAAGAACAGGTAATTTTGTTGTTATTAAATAGAACTGCTTTTGTGAAGAAATGCTAATCATCAACTGTTTTAAGGCATCAGTCTCTCTTTAAAAAAAAATCAAGAATTACATATATTTTAGGCTTCAGGCCACTGCTATTATTAATTTTAAAAAAAATAAATTTAATAATTCAATATTTTTTTTAAATAACTTTTTTAAGTAGGGAAATTAAATGAGATTTCTATGCTAGAAATTATAAATGAGTATTAAATCCATGGGATAGAACTTGAGTGTAGGCACTTTTTAATACTTTACTATAAAATATTAAATTAATTTGCTAAAGAAATGCAGGAAAGGGCCACAATTTATGTTAAGGATAGAGATAATGTTACCCGTTATTGTCATTTGTTTATGCTTATTGTGACCTCCTATAGGACATAGCGTGTTATTGAGAAAGACCCCAGTTATTTGCAAAACCGGAGATAGCTGAACTATAAAAATAGAAATCAAGACTGTAGTGATGACATTGCCTCCTCCACCCCTCCAGCAGTCAGTCTGAAGAGGCTATAGTTGCAGAGATTGTGAAATTAATGGCATGCACATTACAGAATGTGCTATATTACCAATCAGCAATTGGTGTCCTATAGTATTAAAAGTTATTTAGTTTATTTATAAACAAATACACATACAGTATATGCAGAAGATGTTTATGAGCAGTTTCGTGGCAGGCATGAAACTATTCTATGATGATGATGAAAATTCGGTATCATGTTATATTGGGGACTTGTGAAAAAAAATAGCCCTAGTAATCAGTATGTAAGAACATTTATTATAGATTAAACCATCATACATAGACCAACATTTGTTTTTGTACAGAGGAGTAATTCTTATCCTGAAGTGTGTACAGAAGTGCTGAAATAGTGGAAGGAGTAGAACCAATTCCTAATAAGACTGGAATTTCTCAATTCATGGAAAGTAGGGTCGTGAGTCTTTTAACTGGAAAAGAGTGTTTTAGGTATGAAATAGCTGAATATAGTAAGCATTGGGCAGGATGGTCCATTGACTGTTTTGATGACTCAGCAATATTTTAATTCTGAATCAGCATCACACAATCCAGGCAAATTTGACTCAAAGTTTGAAATAGCATTTTAATTTGTCAAGTCTCTTCTGTGATATCTTTGTTATAAAGGCTCAACAGCATATTGTATGAGAATTTCAACTCACTTTTAAACACTGAACATGAGTTCCTGTAGAATTATTTGAAATTAATTCCTGTGAATTAATGGCATGCACATTACAGAATGTGCTATATTACCAACCAGCAATTGGTGTCCGATCGTATAAACAAATACACATATATGCAGAAGGTACAGATATTAATTAAAAAAAAAACTATAATGGTTGCTTCATTTTCTGGACATTCTATCTAGATTTTCAATTCTGTTACAGTGCTTGCCATGTTTTAGCATGAATAAGATTCCAGGCAGTTTCATAGTGGAGGAATGTTACATACAAATTGGTTCTAACACAATTGCATGTTGAGGCCTCTCAGGGGAAACTATCCTGTGTGTAACATTGTAGGATAATATGGATATGCATTTGAATTTATAAGACCTCACACTGTGAAAAATTAACGTTTTTATTAAGTTGGGATTTGATCCTGTGATTTTATTGTTAGATTCCGACATAGAAAAAAATCTCAGATTGATATGCAAGAGTTGTCATCTATAGAATTCTTCAGTGCATCCCATTCTTCACACAAAAATATCTTCTAGACATATTTCAATATCACAGTTCAAAGTGTATAGGATAAAAGTAACTGGATTTCACACTGGCACAAAACCTGGGAATAATTGTGAACATTTCATGTCCCATAAATTACTCTAAGACTGAATTTTCCTAGTTACTTATGTTTGAATTGGCTTATATAGCACTCTTTCTAAAATGGGTTTGGATATAGAATGAATTCCTGGAGAGGCTATACTTTTGACTTAGAACTTTTTATCACTCTATTACTAGTTTGTTTCTGCCAGATTTAAGTTATCCTGTTGATATTTAAAGTAATCTAGATAGTTTGGGATAATTTTTTGGAAGGTATAAGTATGAACCTACTTTGGCTATTAAGATTAGCTTTAGAGGCTCTAATCCTAGGGCCATTATTTTAAATTGGTGGGCACTATTCAGGAATGGATTGATATTTGTAGAATTAACTATCAAAAGAGACATTTTGGGCCCATTCTTTATTAGTTTGTAGAAAAACTTTAAAAACTACTTCTATTTTTTAAACTGAGACTATGGACTTGATATTTAATATCATATAATATTTTAATTTTAATTCTGCTTTATCTAGGTTATAGTAGTGGGCTGTAAAGCTTTTAAATTAGTTTAAAGGCACATAGATTGCTTTTGTTATATTTTACAGTTTTCAGTGTTTCTGTCAGCTGCCTTGGAAGGTTTTGCCCTGGAAATAAATAAATAAATAAATTTGGCATGCGCTATACATATCCCTTTTATTTGGCTTGGTTGCCCTTTCCATCTGTATTATTTCTCTTTTTGTTGTATTGTTCATTTGTTTATCTTCATTGTAGATTGTACCAATATTTGTTTCATATTTTTATTCCTCACTTTATAAAATGCATTTCTTTGCACATTCATACAGGAAGATGCTTTAGGAGAAACATGTTCATGATCTATATAGCTTTGATTAACACATGGAAAGACTGCCATTTTTTTTCAATTAACTATGGACTTTTTCATGTGTCCATTAGAGAATAGAGAAGGAAAATGAGATTCTTTCTGTTTGCATAGAAAGTGATTGTACGTATTTTTTGCTGTCCAAATGTAGTTTGAAAAAAATCTTATTTTGTATAGGAAGCTGACTTGAATGATTTATTAGAAACATGGTATAGCCATTCTGTGCCAGAGGCAAATACTCCTATCAGCTTAAATTTGGTAAGTACTGCTTTTACTATAGAAAATTGGATTCTAATTCAAATATTAAAGATCAGCATCTACACTGGATCCTATAATAGATCAACTCTGCAAGGGGTAGTGAATTTGGTTTTCTCATAAAGCACTTTTTATAGATACTGGCCTTAAGAGTAAATATGTGGATTATTATTGTAGAATGTTCTATTGTGCTTGTTGAATTCTGATGAAATAGAAACTGTTTACAGTATCTTTTATTATTACATTTCAAAGGAAGCTTCTGAATAAATTAAAACCAACTTGTTTGATTGAGTCGTGGCTATGTACTACAGTATTAGCTCCAATTTGGGGTTCAAGGCAAAGGTCCAAGTGGTGACATTGGCCATATACAGTACTGTGCAAAAGGTTTAGGCAGGTGTAAAGTAAGAATGCTTTCAAAAATATATATTGTAATTGTTTATGTTTATCAATTTAC